GCAGCATCATTATTAGTGGTGGAGGGAACAAAATTGATTCTGTTCAGTATTGCGATAATTTCCGCACTCATTTAAATCGATACAGTGAGTAAATATTGCAACATTGAATTTTATAAAGGTTTGTTTCGCTTTTGTGTTTTCTGAGTTTACTCTAGTAATTTATATCTGAGGTTTCTCTTAATCTTATGCCTGCTTTTTGTGACTCTAGTCTGTAGTAGTGTGTAGTAGTGAGAAGAGGTTTTATTAAGGGAATTAAATGTGTTGACAAAGTATTTTCAATCAAAAACCCAAAATAACTTTGATTTCACTTGTTTTGTTTTTACAAAATTTTCAGGATGTAAACAACGAATCGATTCACTGGAAGAATAATCGGCCAACTGATCAATTATCAAAATAATTTCAGGCCTACCACAACAAAATAATGATATTCCTTTTTCCAGGATTATTGCCAATAGGTCCCAATATTGTAAGAACCAAAAAATGAAACTGTCAAAACTTTATTAAATGCTACTAAACCTAAATGGACCGCTTTATGTCAGGGTGTGAAAGACTAATAACGGATATACTGTAGTGGAGGGTTGGTCAACAATGGCACTTACCTAATGAGAGAGGCCTTAAAAGAGAGAATGAGTTTTTGATCTTGATGTGTCGTTATTATCAGCAGAGTTCAGGTTGATTCTAGCATATACTTAGGTTTTGACTTCTTGAAATACATGGTTGATAAAGGACAAAATGGATGCGAGAATTGTGTTTTCGGTACTACTAATATCATTGCTTCCACCGTGCCCTGACAAGTTTCAAGAAAGGATCATGGATGACCACAGTTATGTAAAAGAACTACCCGAACAACAAGCTTTAAGAAAAATAATTGTGCAAAAAATCTGTGCCAAAATCACAAACCACACGCAACAAAAGACAGAGTTAAAACAATTGGAGGCACATTTCTATAGTTTATACACAGCAGACTCACACGTGAAGAAATTACATATTGTGCACATCGACAGGAATGAGAACGAGGCAAAAACTGCAACACAGGTCTCAGGATGTTCTGACCCGTTCTGACCCGCTCCGAACGTATCAACAAAGTATCAACAAAACGTATTCAGGGACAAGGATCAAATATGCAAATCACACAGAATCCCCACAAAACAAACGTCAGAATACTTTATCAACAGCATGCGTTTGAAACAGTTCCGTCACGCGGCTGTGTCTTGGCTTCTCTGATCATAGTGGTTTTAAGCTCCCACAGACGTCCCATTCCTCCACGTGTCTCGTCTCCTCACACCAAGTTTGAAAAACTTAAATAGAGCCTCTGAGCAGGTGCCGCTTCAGAAGGCGGACTATGTTTACATGTCAGTGCAACCGTGTCAAGTGACCAAGATGTGTGGAGCGATCCGGTCATTTATCAAACTAGAGAATTTGTTCTGAATTTGTAATAATAATGCATTGTTTTTACATAGCGTTTTTTTGGACACTCAAAGATGCTTTACATGTTATTATTCATTCCCTCCATACACGGTGGTGATAAACTACTACTGTAGCCACAGCTGCCATGGGGCACACTGACAGAAGCAAGGCAACTAGTTTGTGCCACCTGGTGTTGCCAGAGGTTAAGTGTCTTGCCAAGGACACAACGACAGCAGTCAGTGGGAGTCGGTGGAGAAGGTTCCGTGGTGGGCTCAAACCCACGACCTTCAGGCTCATAGGCCAATGCTCTTCCAACTGAGCCACTGTCGCCTCGTGGCTTAAATACTCAGAAAGCATCTATTCAATCTCGCACCTACGGTATATAATTCAGTGTTTATGATTATTGTGTTATTATGATAATCCATTTAAGTTATTAATCATTTTCACGCTGTCGAGATGACAAAAAGTTGCTTTCGCTTACCCAATACTCCTCGAAACATATTACTTTGAGTTAAAAACATTTTACACGGATATTGTTACAACTTTTAAACTACATAATTTAAACTACATCACAACTATGCAGACGACACACAGAACTATGTCTCACTGACTGCAGGAGAACATGGACCAGTGGACTCACTCCTTCACTGTATCCAACAGATCAGTGAGTGGATGCAAAACAACTTCCTTCAGCTAAACACGGACAAAACTGAAATGATTGTCTTTGGTCCTCAGAAACAAAGAGAGAGCGTCATCTGTCACCTCCAGTCTCTCTCCCTAAAACCTTCAAACAAGGTCAGAAATCTAGGGGTAATACTGGACTCAGCCACATCAAATCAGTAACATCAGCAGCTTTTTACCTCCTAAAAAAACATTGCCAGGATCAAAAACATAGTGTCTAAAGTAGACTTGGAGATTCTTATCCATGCATTTGTCTCCAGTAGGTTAGACTACTGCAATGGCCTGCTCACAGGTCTGTCCAAACAGGCTGTAAAACAGCTGCAGTACATTCAAAATGCAGCAGCTCGAGTCCTGACTAGAACCAGGAAGTACGACCACATTAGTCCAGTCCTCAGGTCTCTGCACTGGCTTCCTGTGGCTCAGAGAATAGACTTTAAAACAGCTCTGCTTATGTACAAGTCTCTTGGCCTTGCACCAAAATATATTAGTGACATGTTAGTCCCATATGAACCGGCCCGGACTCTGAGGAGCACAGGGACTGGACTCCTGTTAGTGCCCAGAGTCAGAACTAAACATGGGGAGGCTGCTTTTCAGATTAATGCTGCTAAAATCTGGAACAATCAGAGAGGAGACAGGCCTCCTCTCTGACAATGTTTAAAACAAGGTTGAAAACAGTTCGGTTTATCTGTGCATACAACTGAGGGATTTTATATTTCTATTATTCTTTTTAATGTAAAGTGATTATTTATATTTTTAATGCTTTCTTATTTTGTTCAGCACTTTGAGTTGCCTTGTATATGAATTGTGCTATACAAATAAACTTGCCTTGCCTTGCCTTTCCTTACAAACAAATTAACAATGTAAAAATAATCCATCCAACCAGTTCCTTGATCTCAAAACAGGATTTTTTGGCTTCTGTCACATCTTTTCTGGACTTGAAAAAATATATATTGTAACTCTCTGATTGGACAAACGGGAGGAAGATTTGGTGCATCCTTTTTTCTGCTGGTATGTAAAGGGGAAGGCACTCATTTCATGTTTACTTCATTCAGGGCATCATTAATTACAGCCCATACATTAGATTATTACTATGCACTTGTGTACAGGCGACCCCGCTCTCATCTCTGTGTGGAGTGAGAGGAAAAATGCCCGTAAATAAATAAAAATTTAAAGCGCTATGTGACCTTGGTCTGTGAAATGTGCTATACAGATAAAGATTTCTTGCTTACTATACAGCACAGTCAAACAGCTTTTTCAATCAGACCCAGTACCTCAAAAAAAAAAAACGTCTCCTTGAAATCACTCTTACAGGCCGATTCACTGCTCGCGTTTCTCTCTCTTGGCTCCAAACTCTTGGGGAAACTTTCCGGTCGAAGCACTGCAAGCTTTTAGTTCCGCTGTGTGCCTCCATACTTCTCCCACTTGTACAGTAGGGAACTATCTCTCTCTCACTCACTCTCTCGAGGCCCGCGACCCATTTCCTGTCGCCGCCGTGCATTACAACGCATACAACACACGCCGGACCGCCAATTACGCTAACGAAGCCCCGGCTAACGTGGGGCGCATTCTTAATCACGGTCTGAAGCGATTAAATCGATGGCCACGCTCGAACCGCCACTGCTTCCACAGAGCTATGGATCCATTTGGGGCATGTTTATGTATGGAAATAGCACATGTGTTATGTAAGTGCATTTTCTGCGCTGGAGGTGAGATGGGTTCTCCTCACAAGAAGAAATATAAGACTATTTTCAGCAAAGATGTATGCATTGGTGCATTGGTTATTTGTTATTTATCATTTCGGCTTTTAAAAATACTCATGGAGACTTGAGCTTGTGTGGCCACGTATTTAATTATGTATACTTAGGCATTTACTCAAGCTCACCCTGTGTTTTCCAGCTCATTGGATCAGAGTGAGGCAGTTTGATTAGTCAACATGATGCCTCTTATTTTGCCCAATGTAAAATTGTTTAAATACTTCTTTACTACTTTAAAGATAAAGATTTGATACTTGTTTCTTTGATATTTGAGTTTGTTTTAATTTAATTAGTATAGTTATTGTTCACTTATCTTGTGAACTCCTCACTCCTACTGTTCTGTAACTTGTGATGCAACACTAAAATTTCCCCACTGTGGTACGAAATTGGATCACTTAATCAAAGGAGACATAAACGCTGAAAATAACATTGCAGGGGGAAAATACCTTAACATAACAAGAATGGGGAAAAAATCCATTTGGGAGTGAGGATGATGAAGCTAACGAGGCTAATACAGATATCCACGTTAGTATAGCGTCTCAACACCGAGAGCTGCTGCAGAGCATTGCGGCGCTTGCAGTAGAAGTCCGTGGGATTAGAACGGACATCAAACATCAGATGGGTGAATTCAAGGACAATATGAAAAAGATTTTGGCTGAGGATAAACTGCTCAGAGAGGAGATGCTGCAGCAGCTTCAGGCCCAGCAAGAAGACGTACAGCGCAAACATGTATCGGCCATTTAGAGCTGGGGTGCATGGAAACTTTGATTTCTACATTGAGAAAAAACAGTGAAATGCACAAGAACATTTTAGACCTGGAGGGCCGTAGCCATAGAAACAACATGCATATGTTGTTGTTGAGTCCTGCAGGAGCAAGAAGGCCCTTTAACTTTCTCGCAGATCTGACTTAAAACTTGCATCAATATACCCGGAGTCCAACTGCAGATAAAGCGGGCTCACAGAGCACTGATTCCCAAACCTGCTGTGACCGCAGGGCCGAGATCAATCATCGTAAACTTTCTGCAGTTTCACATAAAGGATAGGGTGCTAAAGAAAGTTTGGCAGAGGAAGATGAAGAGAATGACTATTCATCTGAAATCATGTAGAGGTGTAAAGCATACACGGGCATCAAAAGTGAAGGGCACTCTATTCAACACATTATTCACTAAAATTAGAGAGTTCTGAGAAACTGAGTTCTGTATCTACGACAGTGCTGAGGCTGGAAGAGCTGATCCTGTGGAAGCGGACGAGTGCCAAGGAGAGCACAGGCCAAAGAGCAAGAGAGGAGCTGGAGGAGGACCGACGAAACTACCACCAGTTAGGTAAAGTGTAAACGTTAATATGACTTGTTTTGCAGGTCTTGATATTGACATTTAATTTCTTTCAAAATAAGTGTTTGTTACTAACATGAATGTTACATACAGTTTTTATTGTACAAACTGTATGTAATACCCTTTTTATAGCAGTGACATCATCTATGTCTCTTCCTTGGATCCGTTTTACTATGTCTATCCACTTCGATTCGTAGTTTATATCTCACCCTATGTCTGCATTGGTTTCTTCTGCGTGCTCCACTTCCCCTACCACTTAAAACATGTGCAATGTTTTAGGTCAAATTCTCCACCTCTGGAACTGACCAAGCGGAGAATAAACTTCTGGAAATGGAACCCTGCTTGTGACAGAGCTGTCGCCGTGGCATTGTAGGATGGTTCAAATGCAGAGTACAAATCGCCTCACAGGATAATAGCATACCTTGACCTTAACTTTGCCCATGAGCACTTCTCTATTTTGCTGTAAAGAGCTAAAGGGTTAGCACTGTCCATGTCAACTAGATAGATAGGAGCAAAACTTCCTTTGAAACAAGTTGAAGAAGGCTGACCAAGTACGAGTAATGATGCAGGCAGTGTTGATTCACCAACACAGATCAGAGAATCAAATCGTTCAAAAACACATCAGTCCATGAGGGGCATATGACCAATGTCCATAATGTTGTTGGAAGTGGAGAGTCCTTTATCATCAACACTGTCCTTAGACGCTCCTGCATCGGCAAGGAACAACTCTAAAAACCCAGTCAGGTAGACCAGAGCACAACGTTTCTTGTATGACTTTGTATTTGTTAAAATTGGACTGGAATAAATTAAAAGAATGATATTAATAAAAATGATATCTCATGATACAGAGAAGGAATAATGAACACATCCTGTCCTCCTTTAAAAACAAATTCATTAATTCTCTGTGTCTGCTGGTGCAACCATCTCTGTCGAGGATAAAAGCAGACTGCACAAGATTGTAACAGTTTTGTCCAAAGTCCCAATCTGTCAAAGCTTTATTTTTCTTTTATGAGCAGCAAAGATGCACTCACTTCACCAGACTTCCTCTTCCAAACCCATTGTGTATGAAATAACGTTGATTTCTGTGATTTGATTATTTAAACTATGAGCTAAAACCAGTGGGGGCGGGTCCCAGCTCAAAAGGTGGCCAAAATGACGTGCGCTGACATGCTTGCAATACCACCCCGGGCCGATGGGGGTGGACCCAGAAGAAGAATTAGCCAATGCTAACATATAGCATTGGCAGATCTCTCAAAAACGTCTTTACAGGATGGACCAAAAGTTGGCTCAAAGCCCCGTTCCACATGTGTGTCAATGCTGAGGGGGGTGAATTTTTTTGGACCACTCTAGTTTACTTGCTGTGAATTTTTGAAGTCTCTCGTTCAAATGAATGGAGCTCTCGCCGGCTGACTCATGCGCAGATGCGTTTTTTCACAATTTTCTTGTGGGCGGGACCACTCGCGGCCATTTTGGATTGCTCCAGTAGAGCACATTTTTTGGCCCATTAGTTAGAACGGCAGAGATAGGCGTGACTCTGTCCATTAATATATACATGGACATTAATGCCATTAATGCCACATGCCTTCGTCAGCAGCTTAAATCATATTTTGTTTTTTAAAATGATGTGCATTTCTGACCATGGGACCATTATCAACCATTATCACCATTATCAACAGTATTACATTTACTTTCAGTATTTTTCAACAATAACATATTTTAATAGTAATTGTAGTAATTCATAGAAAAGTTAAACCAATGACTAATTCATTTTGGCCAATCAGGAATTTGGAGCCTTTGATAGGAGTGATACAAGTAAACCTATACATTTATGTCCATGTACTTATGTATGTTTCTATCATGTAAAATATGTAATTGCTGAAAATTTCATAATTGAGTCCTTTTTAAAAGCTTGAAATAAATCAGTCAAATTGAAAAATCAATTCAAAATCAGGAAGCTGCGGAGATGAGCATGTGCAGGTCTAACCAACAAACATCATTTTAAAAGTAACTTTAACTTCATAACATAATGTTTTACCAATCCAGAATGCTCTTATATTGTACACCACACCATTCACGTGTGGCTTCTGTGGTTGTTCAAGAGGATCATTACATGCCACGAGAAAATCGTTTTGTGCTTTATCCATGCAGCCACAATACTCTGCCGGGTTTAGCTGCAAAGTACAAGATTTCTACTCCACACAAGTCATTTTTACCAAATGTAATCTATCACTTCACCCACTCCGCCACTCCAGTCACACGAACAGCAGTGAATTTGAAAACGAGGAATACCAAAGAAAACGGCTCCAATGTGTGAAGCACGGGAACTGCAACACTTTTCAAACGCTCTACTCTATCTATCTGCTTTCTGCTGGTATTACCATGACAACTTGTATAACTAAGAAGCACCGCATGAAAAATGAAGCAGCTGGAAGAATATTCCAATGTGGGTTTTTACGTATAGATAGATAGGTTGCCAAGCAGCTTACGTGAAGCTATTGCATTTTGCTCTTTTAGCGAAGTTGACAACAATGTCCGGATTATTTGTTTAAAATACAAGAACATCATTGTAAATATAGCAAGTTAAATAGGTGTGATATGTGATTCAGAAGTCTATTGACCCCAAAGTGCAAAAAAGGGTGATATGACATTCTATATTTTGAAATTTGTTGAAGACTTTTTGAAAAACATGCTTTGATTGTGCATTTGTTAGTTGCTAACAGTTGGTTGAATATACTTTAATCTTTCCCTTGTCTTCAAACATACCTTCTGCATGGCGTCTTGGCATTCGAAAGTCGCCCAAAACAAACACTACACTTCCACTCAATTCTTTATAAACTAAATCTTATATTCTGACTGGTAGAAAAATCACTCACCAGGCTGTCGTAGTATATCAGCTCCAGCTCGTAGTCTGGCAAGATGTCGCTGCGGTTGTTGACCAGATCCAGGGCCATTTGGGCGGCGGGCAGGCAGGCTTGACCCCCTGGCCAGCCTCCGCTCATGGGGAATAGCGCGCCGATGTACAGCTTCTTCTTCCCTAGAGCCGCGGGGGAATGGGACAGAAGCAAAGCCAGTGTCAGTGTCACGTACAGGGCTGCGAAACTGACCATTGCCCCAGCCTGACTCTTCAGAGAACTATGGAAAACTTAGAAATACAGTCCTTGATCTGTGCAGAAATAACGAAAAAAATCAAATGTTTGTTCTCATCGCTCTGGGAATCAGTTTTATCAAATCTGTAAAGTTGGATGTTAAAGAATAACTCTACGCCAATATGGCTTGGTAGAGGTGTAGAGATAGAGAGTGATGTCCAAATCCAAGACTTTTTTTCAGCAAAATTCCAACTACGGCTGGCTCACAAGACTTTGATGGAAAAACCGAAGAAGCGCCTTGAGATCTTCAATCTATCTCTCCTTCTCCATCTGGACGCCTACATGCTTCTCTCTGTGCAGCAAAGGCACAAGGCAAAAAGAAGAAGATGGAAAACAAAGCAAAAAAATCCAAATGCTTAAGAGTAATCCAAGGGGAAGAAGAAAGAGGGGCAAGACTGGAAAGGATTGGATCTTGTGCGAAGTGTCGGTGTGCGGCGAGAATGCGGTGAAGGCTGAGACGCGGGAAGCTGGGAGCGCACCGTGCCGATTGCTGTGCTGTGCGGACTGCAGCAGCGGAGAGAGATAGGAGAGAGAGTGTGTTAGGGAGAGAGAGAGAGACAGAGAGAGCGAGAGAGGGAGGAGGGACGCTCTGTTTCACAAACCAGTCTGAATGTGCAATCCCTCAACGCAGCTCGTTTATCTTCCCTCCCCTCTCTGCGCGCACTCTCTCTATTTTTCTGTTCATTTCTCGCTCTATATTCTTCCGTGTACTATATCGAGCCATTGATCTGGAACAAAAACCTTAAATGTTACAGATATTATATTATTTGAGAGAGAGCTGATACCCAATTAACTAAAATGGTATTTGTTAAATGGTAAAAATGATAAAACACTAATCATTTTGTGAGCGCCTTTCCACATGAATGCCTTTTTAATGAATGAACTCTACTCACAGTCACGAGTCAGTTGTGCATGAGTGAACATGATTATTGCAAGTCTTCTGTGGTTTGGATTCACAAATCAAAAGGCCGCCTTTGAAAGTTCACATTTCTCAACTTGAAGCAGGCCACAACTGTCTAATGTCAGGACTACTGGAACAAAAGGATTTACCTATCGTGCATGCTTTTTACAGGGGAAACCAGGGTATCCGGAGAAAACCTACGCAGGTACGGGTAGAACATGCAAACCCTACTCAGAAAGACCCTGTTCCGACTGGGATTTTAACCCAGGATCTTCTAACTGCAAAGCCATATGTGCATGATCAATCATGCACATACACCGGGTGCTCCGGTTTCCCCCATCACTAAAAATATGTACAATAGTTCTGGCATGCGCCTCCTGTTCGACGACCCCGCTCCCATCTCTGTGTGGAGTGAGAGGACAAGTGCCCAAAAATGATAACAATTGTAAACTGCTTTATGACTCTGGTCTGTGAAAGGCGGTATATAAATGAAGATTACTTACTTAGATATTTTAAGGGTCTGAACTAAAATTTGTTACACGTAAAAATTAGTCGGCAGAGGACATTCATTCTCCTTCATATTTGCAGCCTTTGAGATTAGTCAATATCAACAATCCAACATGGTTTTTATCATTCAGACCACATTGGAAGAGAAATACAAAGAGATTAGGTTATTTTCTCATTATTAAAGACGAATATTGATGAATCTATGTGTTTGCAGTGCTTTATTTTGTCATTGAGTTCACAGAGAGGACAGCCCTCTCTCTCTATCTGCAATTACAAGACAAGCAACTCCCCAAACAGGACATCTGCCAGCCTGGGACGCCTTCTCTTAAATGGTAATGAGCCTCAGGAGCACACTTGCCAAGTTCATTTCTTTGTACAAACTTTTGGTTTCTTATCTTGGGATGTCTCTTGAAAGCTTTGGAAGTCACAGGTCGCTATTTGGGGTTTTTCACTTTGCTGAAAAAATTTGAAAACTATTCTTGACACACAATGACCAAAGCCAAAGTGGAACATGTAAAGTCCACCTGAGGGTGATCTAAAGTCAATATGATTACAGCTGTTCTGGTCACTAAATATATCACAAAGGCCAAAGAAACTATCAGGGTCATCTGCTGTAGGGATGAATAGTAATATCATCATGTGCTAATTAACATTAAAGAAACAAAAATATGGAATATAGACTTTTCAACACAGAATGACTTTATTAACATTGTTTACAGTCTTCTCTCCACTCTGCCCCATTCAAACTCCGACTACCTCTGTTTGAGCACATCTCTGCTCAGCTCTGCTGGGCTCTGAAGCCCAAAGGGGAGAGAGCAGGCCATGTGTAAACACCACAAGTTTGTCAAATAAAAGTCCTCATTTAAGCCCAGAACTATGATTTGTCAGAGCACAGTGGCTATCAGGAGAATGCTTTAATCTCTCCCTCTTTTCCATACAAGAGGAAATGCTCAATGAGTTTCCTCTCTCCGTGTTTTCCATGAAAAGTCACACTTATTCACCACCATACATTGTGAAATGAATAGAAAATAGAGTCAAGATATTGACAAGGTTACAAAACATTGTATTTGAAATAAGATTTGTTTTACATCCAACTTTGCTTTCGTCAAAGAATCCTCCATTTGCAGCAATTACAACACTGCACCAAAAACCAGACATTTGCAGCTAGAATAGTCATTTACCACATAAGCAATGTATAGAGTGTATTTCTTTACAGTTAAGACTAGTTTAAAGTTATCGACAGTGCTTTTCCTTCAAAAATAAGGTCATTTAAATGTGACCCCAAACTTTGAACGGTAGTATATATATATAGGGCAATTAACAGCTACGCCCTGCCAGTGATCAGATACCCTGCAGGAATAATATGGTGGCCAAAGGAAGAGATTCGGACCACAGATGTTAAAACTAGGGATGTACCGAATCCAGGATTCGGGTTCGGATTCGGCCGAATATTGGCTTTTTTGACGGGGTTCGGTTTCAGGCCGAACCTTAGAATTTTTCCCCACTGAACCCAAACCCTGCATTTACATTATGCGCGCTGTGGCTGTTGGATTCGTCACGGAAATCAGATTCGTTCGGAAGTGTAAATAAACATGCACTTTAGCGGAGGTTTATATCCTCTTGCTCTCTGTTCCTCTTTGGGTGCGCTGAGATCTCTTCCTGGTCATGTGATCCCCGCGGTCCAATTAGCTCTAGTCATATGCCGGCGCGAGGGGATGTTATGATTCTTGTTTTCACCTGTAATGCGGTTCTGATGGATCATAAACTAACTGCCTATTCACCAACTTTATGGAGCCGATTACCAGTGCCAGGTACTTGTCATCTGAGCTGCGTATGACCGTGGAAGCAGAGTTGGTGAGTCCATGTTTAGGCAACTAGCCTCTTAGCATTAGCTTCTCTTCAACTTGTCTCTGACGAGTTTGGCATATTCTCAAATGTCCATCTGTATATAATGTTTTGACCTGAACCAGTGGAAGCTATTTATGCATGTATGATGCTTTAGCTCTTATTTTTACATGACATGCACAGTAATATATGTACTTTATCTCTGAAGCTTTACACTGCTGTGAACTGAATGCATTTGTGTTTAATGATAAGCGGGATTATTATAAATGTTATTATAACATTTATAATAATCCCGCTTATCATTAAACACAAATGTAGCTCTGGTCGAGCTACATGTCCAATTTGCAATGCCGATTTGTCTCCTGGGGGTAAGAACCCTAAACAGTACACAACACCGCCGCTGTTAAAACATTTGCGTATGAAACATCAATGGACTGAGGATGGAATAGGATTCGGTACTCGGGTTCGGATTCGGCAGAATCTTAACCAGTAGATTCGGTATTCAGCCGAACCCCAAAAACCTGGATTCGGTACATCCCTAGCCCTCAAAAGCTCCTCACCATGCATGGCAGGTTCCATCCCAAATCTGGCACCCTGAGACTGTACGTAAGCCGTAAATGAAGGATGCCGAAGACTAGTGAGTGTGAGAGCCACTGTCCAGGACGAAACATCCAAACTCCATAACTACATCATGGAGAAGGCCAAAACGGATGAAAAGTCACAGAGCTCAGTTGGCGCTCCAGTACAATCGGTCCTATATATATAAATTGTTGTTAAATATAATTGTTTTGACAAGATGTTTAAAGTAGGCTATATTATAATCATCAATATATGAAAGAGGGAGTTTTACAAATAATTTAATATATTCAATGAAATTTCTCAAAGTAATGGGACCTTTTCTCTTTTATTACATGTGATTAATTGGCTTTTATTAGTGAACACTCAGAGAATGTGCCATAAGAAAACTACAATATTGTCTTTGTGTCCAAATATTAACCGTTCATATTTCATTGTCACTATAGATCACTGAATAAAAAATAAAAAAAACCTCTCCTGCTGTGAATGGTGTTTTTTTTCCAAAGCTGGGCTAGCTTGCTGCATTCCTGGATGTGAACGCTTGGTGAAAGTCTTTTTACTTTTGCAGCGTAGCTACTACTATTTCTCTGCTTCCTCTGGTGCAGACCATGGATGTATTAGGTGCAGGCCCACATGGTTCTCCACATGATTTTACTAAAACACGGGGATCTGCTCCAGGGAAACTAAGCACAGCTTTACCTCTGACTTCAGCAGTGAATACTTAAAAGTGTAATAGTTGTCCGCATATACCTTTCTTTGTTTATCATGCGTGCACGTTGATGAGGGCGACAAGTGAACGATTAAAACACATGAATGCCCTTTCAACCCTTACAACATGCCCTTAAAACATGAGCCGCTAACACACAGCTACCCAAGTGGGTGGTAACGCAGATGCAACACGTATGTGACGTGTATGTGACGCAAAAGCGCCTCAGATGCTTAACGGCAGCGCAGAAAATGCCAGAAAAAGTACACTTTTATGAAAAATGAGAAACGGGTCAGATTAAATTGCTTGGCGGGCTGGACCCGGCCCCCGGACCGTAGTTTGTCCATGTCTGGAATAGAATATACTTGTTATTGTCTGGTCTGTCTTTGCTTCTGACTTCTTCAGAAGGACTGGTTTAGTCTATTA